AACATAGGATTCACTTAATAAACCAACTCACAAAAATCCGCAGCTACAAAAACCCAATCTCTGAAATAAAAACCGAAAGTAGTGGTTCCCTTTTCTATCTAGGGTAGAAACCTGGAGACTAAAAACAACACCACAAAAAATAAAATAATCGAAGCAAATCAAGGATCAGAAAAGAAAAGCTTTTTTTTTTCTTTCAAAAGGGAAAGATTTTTTTTCTCACGTCCTTGTCATCAAAAAATAAGAATGTTCTACTTCAGAACTTGTTTTTTTTGTTGAGATTGTTAGTGTATCTGTAATTAGGACATGATTGCGATTGCACATATATTATTGTACTCTATATATATGTGTAATGCCAAAGCAATACCCATCAAGGGTTTCAACACTTTTATGGTATCGAGCCTCTCTATTTGGGGCCGGTTTTTTTTTTTTAGGTTTTTCTCCGTCCATCTTGTTCTCTTCTTGTCGCGGTCTGAACCCGCCGTTTCCTTCTTGCCGCCGTTACCTTCTTCATTGTCTCCGTTCTTCCTTTATTCTCGCCAGTGATCGATCTTCGTTCGTTCCATCGCCACGCTGCTTCCGATTGTTGTTGCTTCATTGCCGCTGCTTCCTTTGTCTCCGTTGATTGCTACTTCTTCGCTGCTGCTCTTTTGGTGCTTCTTTGCTTCTGCTTCTGCTTCAATTGTTGTCGTTGGAGGAAGTCATCCGTCGGTGTTGCTGCATATTCTTCATATTCTTCTCCGCGGCGTCCCGTTGCCACTGCTCCCGCCCTCTCTTGTTTTCAGTTGCTGCTGCCGGTTATTCTCCGTTGCTGCTTCGCCATCAGTTGCCGCTGCAAATTCTCCATCACCGGACGTGATTGCTGCCTTTCCCTCCGGGTGCTGTTTGCTGTCTTCTTCTTCTTCTTTGGTGAATCACTCACCGGTGTTATCAACTCAGCCGCCGCTGGTCTACCGTTGTTTCTTCGCTGTTGCTGGTGGTTCAAGATCTCAAATTTTTTTCTCATTTTTTTTTATCCTGATTCAAGATCTTGGTTTGCTTGCCCCCGTCGTTGGTGTTGCCCACTGCTGCGTCTTTTTCTTCGTTGTTGCTAGGTTTGTTGGTGTTGATATTTGTACCACCGATCTTCTTCTGATCTGTTGTTGCTACTGTTGCCGCCTCGGTTCTGCTGGTTTCTGGTTCTTAATACCGGTTAGATCCGGTTCAGTTCAACCGGTTCGGTCTGGTTTAGAAGTACCGGTCAGGTTCGGTTGGTTCAGTTTGTGCCATCCAGTTTGTTTCAGTTTGGTTCATCCGGTTTGATTTTCGATTCTGGTACTAGTTTTCTGTGTTACACTCATGGCATCTTCTGGCTATCCTATCTGTGCTCCCTCTTTTCAGCATTTGGTTCAGTGCTTTAATTGTTATGGTTATGGCCACATGGCTCGTTCGTGTCCTTCGGTTTGTAGACCTATGCAGTTCTATCCTTCTGCTTCTACTGCAGCTTATACTGTTTCTCCAGGCTCCCCTTCCTCGCAACCATGGTACTTTGATTCTGCAGCTGGTGCTACCATGACTAATGATTCTGGTAATCTTATTACTTCTTCACCTCATAATGGTTTGGACAAAATTTGTGTTGGTAATGGTGCTATGCTAGATATTAATCCCTTGGTTCCTCTACTATTTCCTCTAAAAATTGTTCTTTTGCTCTTCCTAATGTGCTACATGTTCCTTGCCTTACCCAAAATTTGATTTCTGTTTGTAAATTTACCACTGATAAAAATTGTTCTGTGGAATTTGATCCCTTTGGTTTATGTGTTAAAGATCTCAAAACAAAGACCCAACTTCTTCGGTGTAATAGTCCAGGCCCTCTCAATCCCCTTGGTCCTTGTTCTCTTCCCTCTTCAGTACCAGCTCTGTCAGTTCTTCACACAAATCCTCTCATTTGGCATCGTCGTTTAGGCCATCCTGGCTCTCGTGTCCTAGTAGATAAATTAATTACTAGATCCCTTATTTCTAGTTCCCACCCTAGATCTCAATTAGGATTTTGTCATGTCTATCAACTTGGGAAACATGTGCGTTTACCTTTTGATACTTCTACATCTCATACTACATTTCCGTTTGAAATTACACACTCTGATGTTTGGTTTTCTCTGGTTACCTCTCCCACTAGCTACAAATATTTTGTGACCTTCTTGGATGATTTTACTCATTATTGCTGGGTTTTACCTTTGAGATGTAAATCTGATGTCTCCTCTATTCGTTGTTTTCAATGTGATCAAGGTAGAGAATATGAAAATAACTTGTTCTGGAATTTCTTTAAAACTCATGGTATTCATCTTCGCTTGAGTACCATTGCTTGTTCTCAGCAAAACGGTAAGACTAAACGCCTTAATCGTACTATTGTTAAAATGATTCGTACCTTACTATTTCAAGCATCCATGCCTCCAATTTTTTGGGTTGAATCTCTCAACACTGTTACCTATCTTCTTAACCGGCTTCCTACACTCCTTTTCTCCCATAAGTCTCCTTATGAAGTTCTTTTTCATACACGCCCATAATATGGTCATTTACGTACGTTTGGTTGTGCTTATTATCCTAATCTTTCTCATACTGCTAAACACAAGTTAGAGCCGTTCCACCTTATGCGTTTTTCTTGGGTATCCGAAACATCAAAAGGGGTACCAATGTCTTGATCTTGCTACTAATAAAGTCATCACATCTCACCATGTTGTATTTGATGAGAATACATTTCCTTTTCTTTCCGTTCCTTCTCATTTTTCCCCATCATCGTCACCTACCTCTTTGTTTCATCCACCTGGACCACTGGTTCCTTCTGCTCTACTCCCGGTGTCTTTCTCATCCTCTTCCAATTCTCGTGCTCGACCTGTACCTCCTCAAAGTAATCTTAATTCATCAGTTCCTACCTCTGTTCCTTCTCCCTCTCTCTTTTCCTCACCCCTTATTTCGAGTCCTTCCCCTCTTCCGCACACTTCCGCTCCCATTCCGAGTCCTCCTTCTTCCCCCACTATTCATCATCCTATGGTCACTCATACTAAGGATGGTACTCGGAAACCCAAGGTGATTTTTAATTTAGCTAGTAATGTTACTAACCCTCCTTTGTAGGCACCTACTACATTTCGTGAAGCTGTGAAACATGATGAGTGGCAGCAAGCAATGAATGATGAAATTGTTGCATTGTCTTGTAATGACACCTGGACTCTTGTTCCCAAACCTCCTGAGGTTAATGTAGTACGCTCCAAATGGGTTTTTCGTATAAAGGAAGAAGCTGATGGATCTTCAGATCGCTATAGAGTAAGACTTGTAGCTCAGGGGTACTCTCAACGGCCAGGTGTTGATGTTGGTGAAACTTATAGTCCAATTGTTCGTCCAGCTACTATTCGCACAATATTGACTCTTGCTCTCTCTCGCAGCTGGCCTATTCATCAACTTGACGTGAAGAATGCTTTTCTCAATGGCCTCTTACATGAATCTGTTTATATGAAACAGCCTCCTGGGTTTGTCCATCATCAGCATCTGATTATGTTTGTAAGCTCAATCGAGCTCTTTATGGTCTTAAGCAAGCCTCTCGATCTTGGTTTTAGAGGTTTGGCTCCTTCATTACATCCCCTGGTTTTTGCTCTTGTAAATCTGACTCATCTATGTTTGTTTATCGTCATGGTGGGACATGGCTATTCATCTCCTTTATGTTGATGACATTCTTCTTACTACTTTTTCTACGTTGCTCATGTCTTCAATCATTGTCTAGTTGAGAAATGAGTTTGCTATGACGGATTTGGGAGATTTGCATTATTTTCTTGGCATCTCGGTTTCACGTACTCCTGATGGCCTCTTTCTATCACAGTCGAAGTACATTGCCACCCTTCTTGATCGTTGTCATCTTACTTCTGCTAATCTTGCTATCACTCATGTTGATACTAAAGCTAAATTATCTCAGCTTGATGGAGAGTTGTTTGCTGATCCCTATGAGTATCGTAGTATTATGGGAGCTCTTTAGTATATTATTTTCACTCGCCCTGATATAGCCTATGCAGTGCAACAGGTTTGTTTATTTATGCATCAGCCTCAGGGAGTCTCACTACCAAGCAGTCAAGCGCATTCTGCACTATCTGAAGGGTACTACTTCTCACGGTCTTCATCTTCATTTTGGACCTCTTGATAAGATGGTGGCATATTCTGATGTTGACTGGGCTGGCTACCCGGATACTCGTCGATCTACTTCTTGTTATTGTGTCTTCTTTGGTTCCGATCTCATCTCTTGGTCCTCTAAATGGCAACCTATTGTTTCTTGTTCTAGTGCTGAGAGTGGGTATCGAGCGGTTGCTAATGCTATTTCTGAAGTATGTTGGATTCATTCATTATTTTCGAAGCTGTACATTCGATCGGTTGCCTACTGCTACCATAGTATTTTGTGATAACGTCAGCGCCATTTTCTTGTCTACTAATCCTGTTCAAAATCAGCGTACCAAGACTCTCGAGATTAATATCCATTTTGTTCGTGAGAAAGTTGCTCAAGGGTCTATTCGGGTTCTTCATGTTCCTTCTTCCCACCAGTTTGCTGATATAATGACTAAGGGTTTGTCTCATGTCCTTTTTACGGAGTTTTGAGACAATCTAAACGTTCATGTATCTCCCGTTCCGATTACGGGGGGATGTTAGTGTACATGTAATTAGGACCTGATTGTAATTGTACATATATTATTGTACTATATATATGTGTAATGCCAATGCAATACCCATCAAGGGTTTCAATACTTTTAGAGATAGCTATGTTGATGGCGGGATACAATTTTGCGTGGCCGGGGGGCATATTAAATCCAGTACTGAAGTCGGGAAACACCTTTTTCACCTTTTCAATTCCAGCAAATCAAACAAAAGATGAGAAACAGAGTCAGTTTCATTGATATGAATTCTTGCCCTAATTGTTCTGCCTAAGATCAAGATACTCAAGCCAGCTCTAATGGTTGCGCTATGGACGCACTGCAAAGTTAAGACTCTTTAGTTTATGTTTTGTTTGTTATACCTACATCAGGTTCTACTATTAGAGGAGTGTACTCGGTTGAGGCTTGAGGCTCCTCAAAAGTAAATGAGCTTCCGTCAACCTCCCAAGGAAGGATAACCTCAGAATCTGGGTCGACACAACAGTCCAGGGGTGCAGCCCCAAAAGGAAATTCATTTTCATTTCTACTCTTGATCTCCGCCTTCAGATCATCAAAGAAAGATAAAACAAAATTAAATGAATAAACCTTTTTTTTCTCACCTCGAATCCCAGCAAAACAAACAAAAAAAAACTATCACAGAAACAAAGTAGATTTAATAGATTAGACATTCCTGCCCTAACAACTTGAAATTACCAATGAAATTCAAATTTCTAAAAAAAAAAAACAACAACAAAAGCAAATTAACTTTTCCTTGAAATCAATAAGGAACTCAAGTGCATAGGTGCCGTCACTCATCGCGGCCTTTAAGGAATCAAGTAGGGATTCTGTCACAGATCGCGGAACAAATATGCACGATTTTAAATCCGCCGGCGCCGGTAATTTATCGAGGCAAGTCAATTTCCACCACATAGGTTGTGACACCTTCAAATAATTCAGACGAAACGGGATAAATTAAGAAGCTAGTAGTGTTGAAATTTCATTTGATTGATACAGTAACGGATTAAAGAAGAAGAAGGAGAAAAGAGGAAATCAAATTCACCTGTTCTTCAGCCTCGATTTTGCTTCCATCCCCAAAATGGAAGACAACATCGGGATCTACTTCGTCGACCAGAGCTGGCCAAGGACCACCCCCAAAATGCACTCCGCTTCCACTGAACAATTCAGTCAACATTATCTCACTCGATCGATAGCTGAAGCTGATAAAATACTTTACAATTTAGGGTTTCTCAGTTTTTTCCCAAATTTTTCTCTTTAGGCTGAGAAAATATTTGATTATTTTCCCTCCACCAAAAGCTACTATTTATATTTCCAACCCCTATATACTACCGACCCATATCGATCTAGAGTACATTCTTTCTTTTCTTTCTTTTGCCAAAAAGAAATCTATTACAAATTCTAATAATCACTTTGCAAGCCAAGTCTTTATTTATTTTTATTTTATTTTTTATTTTATGTTAACCAAACCATATCTCCTTCATCTACCCACGTTTAACTTCTCTTCTCAATTTTGATCTCCATTAAAACACTCTAAGATGTGTTTACCAGTAAAAGATTCCTAAGGAAATTAACACCATCATAAACCACAATATTTTTTTTCCCCAATTCAGTCATCAAATACTATGAGTTGATTTCTAATTCGTCATTCCCAATTAATGATCGTTGGATCAAAATTTTCAAGAACTAGGTTTAATCTTTCTCATTCTTCAGTTCAGAAGCACAAATACGGCCGCAAAGCAATACTTTTGTTGGATATAGTTTTACCCCCTTCGACCTCCAAAAAGAAAAAAGTTTCGCCCCTTAAAAGATAAATTATGCCATCTCTAGTTTCTTGTTCTTTTTCTTTTTTTTTTTCTTTTTTTTTTTTGGGACGAAAGAATATAATTTATGTAGTTGTACTTCTTCAATCGAGGTGTTTTAATGGATATTCCAATAAAAAAGTTCTTCATCCACCTATACATAATTTTTTTTCTTTTTTTTTTTCCTGCAAGCCTTTAAACAAGATGGGAGCATTTTAATGTCAACTATGACTTATAATTTTTGTCAATCGCAATGAACGATACTAAGAGCAAAAACATGAATGAAACCTCAAATTATATTGGTTTTGGATTACAAATCATATCTGCAGTTGATTGAAGAAAAGAGTAAAATTCACGAACCCTTTTGCCACATCTTTAATCCTACGTTGAGAATCATTTCTTATCATCCAATGGTTAATATTATTGACTAAAACGTTCAGTCAACTAGACCGTAGTCGCTCTCAATAATATAATAAGATATTATGCAGTAAAAAGTTTATCCCGCTTATACGAGCATATGCTTGATTTGTCAACTAGAGTTTTCTAATAATGTTTTAACATGATATACTCTTTCCATCGTAGAAAAATAGTATACGTTTATTTTGTAATTAGTATTAAAAATAATACTCTCTTTGTTTAAGAAGAAAAATATAAATCTCAAAATTCAATTTGAACTATTTTTTTTGACAGATGGAATATAAATTATAAAATATAATATAAACTATTTTTGTTTGGGATATCAGTTGGAACTTTGTAATTTGTCACTTTTAGCATTTTTTTTTTTTTTTTTTGGAAGGGGTGGTTTGGTACATTCATTTTTGGCATCTTCAGTACGTGGAAAAGGTGGTTCTGTTCATAGCACATTCAGCCCAATAATTTTTTGGGCTTCTACCCAAAAGAAAGTTATGGGCTTTAGATTGTACCATGATTTATAGACCTATGTAATAATCTATAATGATCTGTTTTGGATATAACATCTGAATGAAATATCGACCTTTGCTTTTTTTTTTTTTTTTTTTGGGATACCAATTCCAAACTGTTGGTATTAAATTAGTGAGTTGTTAGAGTAGGAGTTAGGCATGATCTTACCTAATGCTGCTTGTAAAATTTAGTAGTTATCATTTATGTAATAGCCACATATACATACTTATTCACGGGTAAGGTATAACTGGATAATGTTTAATAATCCTTCATAAATGACAGTGAGATTTCTTTAAAAAATTTATAAAGTGAATTTCTATGATGAAAGTCGTATGGCCAAGTAAGTTCAATCGAAAATCAGGAAGTGGACATGGATAATGTAGCTAGAGGATATAGGTACTCCCTCCATTCTAAAATAAGTGTCATTTTAGCAAAATGGAGAAATTTAAAATAAGTGTCGTTCTCACATTTCAATGTACTTTTTGTCAAAAGTTTTCAAAATTACCCTCAAAAGAGTTGATGCTATTGGTGGACAATTTTATAATAGGGTTGGTTGAGAATATTCAAGTAATTTTATTACCCTATTTAAGAGTTTCTTAAACTATGTGCAAAGTGTAGGACGACACTTATTTTAGAATGGAGGGTGTAACTACCAAACTTGTAAGAGGTTAAACAAGTTAAATTAAGTGTTGAGCTATATGAATAAAATAATAATAATAATGAACTTATGAAACTTGAAACAACGTTACTTTTCACGTTAAAACTCATATTATTCGACATTACGTCCCAAGTTGGGAGAAGTTTAAGGACATTTTTTGCATTCAATTTTCAACCGTAAAGTGTTATAGTTTCTATTCCAAACTTGCAACTATCAAGAAACACAAAAACAGCCAATTTTAGTACGTAGAGTTGCAACAAATATGGTTGCATGCATTGCCAAAGCCAAAAAAAAAAAAAATCAAATGTAATTTGTCACCAACTACTTTATTTATCACAAGTCCAATATAGTCTCCAATAAGCATATATGATGACTAAATATTACACCTTTGCTTCTCGTATTCCCATAGAACTAAACTTTGTTGTGATGCATAAAAGGGTCCAAATTTGAGGGGTTTGCTTAGAGCATAAATACATTTAATTGAGCCAAATTGAATTCACAACACACAAGAGGGTCACTTTTAGGGCCCAATTCCTTTAAATTCTTGCCAAATATGGGATACCAAAGTTCCTTAATCTAAGGGCAAAGGGACAAAAGCCACCAAAGGTATACCATGAAATTTGACTACGGAAGCTCTCTCTCTCGTACGTCCTCTGTGTTTTGCCAACTTGGAATATCATCCAACGAAACCCTCAAAAAGGCTTTTAAAACCATCTTCGAAATTCGGAATCCATGCAATTGGAAGGGGCATGCATCCATGTATCCCATCACCAAATCATATTTTTAGACCGACATAAATGTATTACAGTCTACAAAAATATATAAGGCCATCTTTTTCTTTTCCCTCATGTTTGTTTAAAACCTCTTAATACAACAAGAACCTTTTTCTTTCACACGTACCCAAAAAATAAAAAATAAAAAATTTGATATGATTTAAATTGTTATTTTTAGAATACGTTTTCCTAGGCGACATTAAAATTATATCATACACACTGTATTCAAAATCACTATCCAACAAGTATTTATAATTTTAAAATTTTTTTTAATAGTTAAAACTAATAAGATTGAGACGTGATTACATTCGGAAAAATTCTGAAACTTAATTCAATTTTTCTTGTTTCTTTTGAATTTAGACAAGTTTAATATTTTTATACCTTGTTATATGAATGCATGACTTACCCATATACTGCAAGAGTACTGAAAAGTGAAAACTTCAAAGGGCACTAGAATAAATTTGATTGTCCAAGAAGCCTAATTCACGGGGTAACTTATTACGTGTTTCTTTTTTGTTTTTCATTTACTAGCTCCATGAAAACTAATAATCGAATCATAATTCAGAAACCAGTGCAGAACATGAACTGAGTGGCTCAGTAGAGAAGGCAACCCATTCATTGGTTGCAATCTCTGTCTAAGCTGTGTTATATATATAGTCATCTCAGTCTAGGATTAGTGTCGTTATCCTCCTAGTTATAATCTGCCTAAGCTCATTTAAATAATTTCTCCATTTTAGCCACAAAAAAAAAGAAAAGAAAAATAATTTCTCCACTAGGACTAATATCCACTAGGAGGGAATAGGGTAGGATGCGATTTGTGCATATTATTATTCTTGCTTTTTTTTTTTTTTTTGGTTGAAGATGCACATTTCTTTTCTTTAATACTAAGCAATTGAAATGGTAGTGCCGCGCCGCTAAGGAGGATATAGTGACTTTTTGCTTGTTCTATATTGAAGCCCTCATATTTTGTTAGTACTTTTGGGGCAAACTCTCTAAAGTCTATACAAAAGCATCCCGTGACTGCGATCGAACATCCAACTAGGGGAATAAATTCTTCTTCAACTTCTTATGTTAAAGCCCCCTTTTTTTCCACTTTCGTATTCTACCAGTTCCGAAATTCCAACTGCCTACTCTCATCCCTTTATATTTCCTTTTTCAAAGTTTCGATATCAAATACTTACTAAAAGTAGAAACTTAGGGGGAGTGGATAGGGTTATAAGGAAAACTAAAGAGTTTTTTTTATGGAAAAATGAGATTGGTAAGTTACATTAACTCTCTCAGAAAGATCTATCAGATAATTGTGACAATCGAAATAAATATTTAAGAGATTACCGTCTCATCATGTTTATTATGTTTCTCCCAAAAAAGAATGTTTATGCTTAGACTAAACTTACTGAAATCCGTTAATTACCATGATTGTTTCAAGTAAAACCTTCTGGGGATCAAGTTGCGTGAACGAAATTCAGCTTGTTGATGAACCTTTTTGGCTCTCTTTGCTTGTAGTTTCAGTTTTTGATTACTTTGTTTACCATTTGTTGAAGGGTTGAAGGGCAAAAGTAGCATCAAAGTTTGATGAAAAATGATTGCTATTTATTATAATGATCATGGGAATATGCATGATCCAAATCCAACACATAAGCGCCCCCGGGAGTGTATTAATTATACGTTTGAAGACTGACTTATATTAAAGTTAATAGAAAAAGTTCAAAAAGATTAGGGGCTGGTGGGAGACTAAAAGCAACAAATGTGGGGGCTGAAGAATTTACTTTTTAAATAAAATTGTTTCAATGTAGGTGGCAAATATTGGCTTGGAATTTCATGAAACAAAACACTCATTTTACAATTTATATTAATCTATTGGTGTTGATGTTGACTAATCCCCTAACAACCCCTTTTTAGTATAGATAGTGTCATTCACTGAATTATTAAATCATTTTTTAATTAAGTTGCGTAGTAGTTTACAGGGGTGACTCTAAGTCGTCTTTGGATCATAATAATTTCCCACCACACCAAACAATACCCTTTTTCTCTCTTTTTCTTCTTCCTTGAAAACAACCCTTTTAAACTTTAATCAATATGGTATCTATTGTACTCCCTCTGTCCCAAAATTATTGTACAGTTTGAGATTTCACTTTCAATATATTTTAAACTAAAAATGAAAACTCAAACTGGACAATAATTATGGGACGGATGGAGTACTTCCTTTGTTGTATGATGCTTGATATTTGATAATAGAATAAGTAATATGGAACTCCACTGGATTTTTGTGAATCTTGTAAGTAGCGTTATAGTTTAGTTGTTGGATTTTCAGTCAGCGTTTTTTTAATTCAAACTGTGATTACACTTTATGAAAGATTTTCCTACATTATTGAATTCCATTTCTGATGGGAAATTGAAAATGACTTTGAAAATCTTTCTTGTTTCTTCAAGGCAAAGTAGATCCAAAAGCCCTATAAAAAAATTTGCAAAATTAATTAACGTTCACCACTGACATCAGAAGGATTGCACAATCAAGTGAACAATGACAAACTGGATATGGTCCAAGAAATTGATGTACTGAAAATAATCAATTTTGATCTATCAACTGGCCAAATTCCTTCTTTTTTCTTTATTTCCATATCATTTTGGGATCCATCGATAGAGAAACTTCCAAGAAAAGTAAAGGGTGCAAAAACCCAAAAGAAAAGGAAGCCGCAATTTTAACTTTTACCACATATCAAAATATCTTGGCATCTAAAAGTATCCAACAAAATTCAAAATGTACAAAATGATTTCATACTTCTACAAGCCCGTAACGGTACTTAAAAAATTTGTTGGTAAAATGTTATTCCGTCTCAGAAAAATAATCCAGTTTCAAAAGATAAAAGTGTAATAATTAAAAAAAAAAAAAGACGCACCCTTTAATCGAACTAGATTTATAGCACATACTATAAGTACCACACAAACATACGTATTTGTTTAAACAAACTTAACATCGATCTATACAGTGGTGGATAGAGTCAACAATTCTGACGGGTGTACTTGTTTCTGTCCAAACACACACTAAAACCATCCATCCTACACTATAAAAGATTCCGACGGCTTCTTTGTCCAAAAATGAGAACCAAATTATAAATTCCAATACATTGAACAACTGTACGGATAAAATGTCCAGATTTTTAAACAAAAATTATTGACCTGCATTATAAGGGGGGAAGAGGAAATGATACATAACGTTTGGTGCTAGTGCTCCCAAAAGAGACCAAAAAGAATGAAAGGAAAAAAGAAATAATTAAAAGGGGAAGTAGGAAGACAATAAATATAAGCTTAGATTATATGGTATGCAGAATAAAAACACTTTGGCTGTGTGAATAATCCACGCAAATGGATAAGAGGAAGCCGCTAGATTGCGCAGTTAGGCAAAGAAGAGGTCCCTCTCCAATCCATATGAACAACAAATGATGCTTAAAGTTTTGCCACTTAATCACTTCCCAACCACAACACGATGCCAAATGCGAAGGGAGGATATATAATAAAAAAGAATTATGATGGAATTTTATTAATAATAATAATATTAGCCCTTAGCAACTACCAAACCAAAGAATTCCACTATATATATATTTTTTTAATATCTTTGTATATCATTAACAATTTGATTTTGGCAAGGTGCCTTATAAAGAGAAATTAAAATTTGTGAAAAGTTTCAAAGCTTTTGGAATTGGGGATTGGCTGGACGTTATTAATTAATTTTATTTCATGCATTTGAATTCTATTTTCTTTTTTCCCTCCTGATGTTTACTCTTAATTGTTTGTCAAGTTGGAGCAACATCCCATGGTCGATATGGTATCCCGTTAGACAAATGACATACTGGCGGCCATCGATATTGATTAATTATTGCTACTCAAATCATAATTCATCCATATAAATATTGGTAGATGGATGTATATATATACAATACTCAAAACTATTTATCGGATGATTAAATCTTTTTTGGTAGACGGAATTTTTACGATTAATTATTCATCACATTGTTTCATAATTAATTGGGCTCAACTATAGATTTCTCCACACCACACGCATTCAAAAGAATCCCCATTATCCAGTTCCCCAAAACCTTTGATAGTTTGTCGGGCCATAGTTGGGCACCCGAAGAAAAATAATGATTCCTGTACAACCGAATATTAGCTAGACCAACGAAATAATTCATTAGAATATTGGAAATTTTTTTTTGTCTTTCGTCTTAATTCGTATCATCCTGTATAGAATATATGTAGAACTAAATGTGAGAGCAATTGGGGGACAGGTTTATAAAACAAAACACAATATTTGTTGATCCATGTTGTGCTGCTATAAGGCATCAGAATATAATGTCTTACAAGAAGCAAGCTATTCCATATATATTCGTATAGAAGTGAAATAGTACTAGTAGTAGTTGTGTGACAAAAAGCAAATTATAGAATTGCATTTCGCATCTGAAAATAGCTAGGGGTAAAAAGTAGACGAAAAGTGTTTTTCCAATGACATAATACAATCTAATTTAAGATTGATGATGTATTTTGAGCTTCTTCATGCGTTTATGAAATCCGTTTATGTCTCAGTTGTTGGGTTATGTGGTTCATGAATCATTAACAGATAGTAATATTTAATTATCGGCGACCTTCTATGGTTTTAACATTACAAAAATGGATCGAAGCCTTATGATTTGTTTTAGGCAAACATAGGTTGACGTGGTTGTAGCCTTGTAGGCGTCTAGTATTTGGTCATTCTGGTTATAAAAATAAAAAATAAAAAATGGTGGATTATTGCATCCACATACCACATGTGACTTTGTCCGAGATAGTTTCAGAATACTAAAAATTCTTCCAAGTCAACAGTCATCATCGTAACAATTTAACTACTCCTAACTCCTAAGTCAAGCCCTCCATGACTTACAGATGATTTCAAAAAAAAGACTTGTTACCATCCATTGTGACAGTGACCTGCAGCGTGTCGAAATGACCACTGCTCCCTTCATCGTAAAATAAAATAAGAGTCTGTAAGGTTATTATACCGTTTCACTTAAGAAACGGAAACCTTAATTTGAAACGAAAGGAATATTAATTGAATCTTAATAGAGGAGTAACGACCAAAAGCCGAGGACAATAAACAGCATTTGTTGTTGTTGTTGTCGTCGTCGTTGTGATGAGCTCCAAACTGAAGTAATTAAGTGAAAATTGCGTATTGGCAAAGTGCAAATTAAATCATGCGGATTATGCTTTTGCATGTAAGAAGCGTACTACTACAGAGAGTACAGAGTACAATAGTCTATTGTTGGTGGTCACAGTCAACTCTCCGGACACTTAGTCAAGTCCACTGTATAATATGGACTCCAAACTACGGAGTTTTGAATAGGTCAGTGGTTTGCCTGGAGTAAGAACATTCTACAGGTCTTCTTCAATCGCTCCTGCAAATTCTCCCCCCACTGTTTCTTGTTTTGGGTGTTTTCCCCTGTTTCCTCTGACCTCACAAGTAACAGTTTATAAGTAAGAAAAATGATATGTGTAATGAAAATAGATAGTGAAATAGGACAGTGAATTGATGTAACATTTAGAAAAATATATAGTTATCTATATTATGTGGATATTTCTTGTTAAGGGAGCGACGTAGCATATTTGTATTTTCACCAGTCACTATCACATTTCGCTATATATAATTACTGTCTGATTGTTGATTCGCTCAGATCTTATGTATAAAACACAAGAAATTAAAACTTAAAATATGACCGGATGGATGAACATTGACATTATTAAATTTGGGAAGAACAGTTTGATAACAACCAACTACTATAGAGCAACAATGGAGTCAAAATTTATTTAATCAATCGCCCTTTCTTACTTAGCACACTCTGCTTCCTGGTAATTTACATCAAAATGAACCAAAGACCAATCCCTTCCATTTCATTTGCCCCTGCTTTCTTGCTTGACAAAAAGTTCTTCAACACACCGTCCTTTTAATGTTGACAGGTCGATACAAATCATTACTACAAACAACAAGAAAGCGGAATATGAAATTATTAAACTAAGAATCACTTATCCATCATCATTGATTTTTTTTATTTTTTATTTTTTTTGTGTCAACATAAATACAAATTCTGCCGGATAATTATCCCCCAAATTAAGTCGCCTTCGTTCTCAAACCAGATTTCGCCCAATTTGATATCAATTAATGCTTATCACTTCAATAGTTCAATCAACCAATAACTAAAACTATACACCTTCAATGATAACCTCATCATCATTTAGTCCAACGTTAAAAACAGAGTGAAGAAACTGAAAAACACATACAAAATTGCGAATTAAGTAAAGGATGTAATATTATTGTTTGCTAATTCTTGAGAAAATAGAGAACCAGACAAAGCTAATCTTAGTACAAATTCCATGGCTGTACATCATACGGAATCTATTACCATGACCACTAACAAACGTTTTTGATTCATGCAAAAGATAAAAAAAAAAAAAAAACAGAGAACAGTGGGAAATCCAACCGAAAATGTTCATCCATCTTTTTACTAGTCCAGGTTAAAAATTGCAAAAGGGCTAAAACACCGCAGTAAAAACTACGAAATTAACGAGCACAAATGTAATTATTGTTCCTCCTTATCTCCAATTTATGAAACTCTTCTTTGGTTTCAGCCAGTTTCTGCTCCATGAGTGATTTCTGATGATTCTTAATATAGGCTTCGATTGTCCTGTTGAACTCTTCGTCACTCAATTTATCCACCCTGTCCAACGATGTCGTCGTCGTCGTCGTCATCCCCATCCTCCTCTCCGCCCGCCTTCCTCCGACTTTCACCGTCTCCGACCGCCTTAACTCCGCCGGCCGTGTCTTCGGCGCCATCTCCCTCCTCAGCTTCACCGACTGTGTTCTCTGGAACTTCTCAATCTGCTTCGTCGCCGTCTCGATCGCCGCCGACATCGCGTCGTCGCATTTCGCCTCCGAGTGAACGCACACGATTTGTTTCTCCTCTTCCGCATTGAATTCCTCGGCGGCGGAAGCAGGGGAAGCAGTCAACCCGTCAATCTCCGGCGGCGTCGGCAGCGGCAGCAGCGGACTCTTAATTTCGTCAGGCACATACACTTTGGTCCGGTCGCCGCTGTGCCGGACATAATCGTCGTAGAGATCGCCGTGGGAGCCGTCATTTCCCGTGGCGTCGTTGTCTCGCCGGAGAAAAAACAGAACGGCGACGATCACGTTGCCGATGAGGAAAACGACGTGGGGATTACAAACGTAACGAACCGCTTCAAGGAAAAACTCGCCGAAGAGTTTAAAAACTCCGGGAAGGAAAGTGGAAGACCAGGAAATCAAGGCGAGAGCAACCAGAATTTCCAGAAACTGCAAGAACTTGGAGATCTTCCGAAACCGGTTGTACCGAGCCATGGCCTTAGCCTTTTCGTATTTCACGTAATCAAACGCCGTCGTCTGAGAAGTACAATCCATTTTTCTCAAAACTTTTTTTTTAAGAAAAAAAATCGAATTAAGACTGTTTGTGAGGGGGAGGGGGATTTAGGAAAGGACAAAGGGAATCGGAGAATGGGAAATGATCAGTCAAAGTAAAGGGGAAGGGGAAAAGAGTGGATGAATATGCAGGAATGCATATAATTGTTGAAGATACGGATATCATATGCATAGAAACAAAACCCAGAGGGGGGGAAGAGATTCACACACACTCACACACTAAGAAAGGCGGGGAAGAGGAACAGACGGTTTTTGTGAGTTTGGTTCGGATATTTTTTTTTTTTTTTTTTGTGTTTGTTTGGGTGTTTGAGAAGTTTAGTAGGAAAGTTTGTATAGCAAGGTATGGTTTTTATAGGCGTGCCGAAGACTACGGGCCTATCTTTTTATTTTATTGTTTTTTTTAATTGAATTTTTTGGGTTATAAAATGTGTACGTGTTCATAATTCACGAAATGTACTTTATGACCCTTGGCATGGCCGGACCACTAGGAACATTTCTAAAAGTCTTTTTACTGAAATCTGAATAATTCGTTCACTTATTTCCTACCTTAGCTGACTATCCTACTAAAGGTTTTTTCTTTTGTAAAAAAATAAAATAAAAAATACTACCAGTACTCTCATCATTGGATTAGATTATATTTATTAGAAGGCTTCTGAAAAGGGAAAAAATATTTCGGAAATGAAATCAAAACTATTGTCAAATAGTCATATTTTAAACATTTTCTTTCTGAAGAAGGTATTTCATCTCTGTATTTTCCCTTTTTCATTAATGTATTTATTGTCTTATTGATATGCATGATTAAGTAGATAAGTCTTGAGAATAATATCTCAAGAGACAAGAATAGTAGTCCGAGCTTTTAATAGTAAAAAAAAAAAAAAAAAGAAGATTATTCCATTGTTTTGTTGGTAATTATTACTTGGTAGAAGTATGATTTGATAATTTCAATTCACCATAATTTTCTTTAGTAAATATATATATATATATATATATATTGAAAAGGACAGTAAATATAATGTGATTTCTCTTAGTGATTACTCTATCTATCCCAAATAATTGTGCAATTAAGATATTTTATTTTTTGTAGAAATTATATTAAAAATGAATATCTAAACATGATAATCATTTTGGAACAGAAAGAGTAATTTTTAAGATTTTAACAATTCAACATTACGGGACACACAAAAACACATAATTTAGAAGTATAAATTATAAGACACAGAGTACATACATCTTAGTTCTTAACATTTTTTTTTTATTTTTTCTGTTTTTGACAATAGTTAAGAAACGAAATGGAAAGAAAAAGGTTACGTTGGGTGGAAGGAGGGAATAGTAGGAAGAAATGAGAATATGGCAAGTGACCTGGTTTCAAACAGCTGTGGGGATGTGGTTTGAACCGAAACCAACGACTGAGCCACAGCCCCCAAAATCAAACCCCCGGCGCGACGACTCAGCCCACGTGTGGGTCACTTTCTTAGACAGTACCCGTACTTTTTTATCCGAACCTTATTTTTGGTACCACTTTAAATTTTCTCTTTCACTTCCATCAAGTGTTTGTTATGTTGGGTTGGTTAGTTTTTCCAGAACCCAGAAAAAAAGGTAAAAGAAAGTAAAGAAACTGTCTGCTGTGGAGCTCAATTATTTGTATCAAACTCCTCTGTCTTTTGCCGCTTTCGGTAAAAACATATTGTCCTTCTCTCCAATTTTCAGGAGGAGAAAAACAACTTTGAAGTAGTCCCCAAATGCCTGTACCATAAATCATTGTCTTTTTTCATTTCTTCCCCCCCCTCCCCCCTAGTGTTTATTGTCAACAATAGTATCTACTCTTTCCGTTCCGAAATTATTGGCCAGTTTAAATTGTTAATTTTCGTACAAATCAAACTAAAAGTAAAAATTTTAACTCAAAAATAATTTTAGGACAGAGGGATTACTAATTACTCATTTACTCTCGTTGGTGAAATAACTGATCAAACACACCCGACTAAAACACTAAAACATTTTGGTTTCCATATGTTTGTTTCTTAATTGTCCTGGAAGTCAAATCTTTTGATTGCATTGTTTTGTGTAAATTAAGAGAGAAGACTTGGAGACCCAATGCGTTTTTTAGGACTTAGTGCCAAACTGCCAATGATTTTGGTGGGATTTACCACAACCCTTCCTATGCCCTAAAAAAGGTTAAAAAAAAAAAAAAAGAGGCCAGCTCGTGTTCCCATGCTACTTGATCAAAGGATGATGTATTTGCTAAGAATAGTAAAAATGATTTAATGTTAGCCAAAAATATAACAACCACCCTTTTCATACTCCCCTTCGCCATTTTTGTCCCTTTTTTTTTTTTGGGCCCTGTTCTCTTGCTTTCTTAGGAAAAAAAAAAAAAAAATCATCAATCTGGGTTGAATGAGTAAGTCAGTATTATTTCAATTTACAAATAACAAACCATCGAGTTAAGAAATCATTCACTTCAACAAATTCGATTGGCCTTTTTCTTTTCTTCAAGGAAAAAACTAATGACTTAGTTCACAGTTACCTAATGATTCGTAGGAAGGAAGTATTCAGACATTATGGAGGGAGATGAAACAGTTGAAGATGGAACTGAACCCGTCGTGAACGGCAAATAAAAATTCAATTATGTGTTTGCATGGAGATATCATGATTTTTGTTTTGGTACCTGAAAAAGAAAGGGGAAAAAAAAGAAGCAGCCTAACAATTACTGTAGGAGACCTTTTCCTTTGGGACAAGACAAACAAATCCATAAACTCGTGTTGTGTGGGGGATCATCCTAGGACTCGAAGAACTACTACATCATCATCATCATCATCATAATCATCACAAAAACACTCCAGATTCAACTTACTCACTCATCATCACCATCTCATATATGTTTTGCTTTTAACATGATTTTAAGTCTGCTGATCATATTACCCAAACTACAAAATCCCTCAATTAAAAAAATGATTGGACTCTACAATATTATATCTGTTCTGTTATTCCTTTCGTCCTAAAATGAATAACGTATATGAGTTATTGTCTTGTGAAAATCATTAAGGTTACCATCACGTGAGTGTACTGTAGGAAGACTAAAAGAACTGATTAGAAAAAAAGTAACCTGAAAGAAGTTGGCGACGATTTAAAACATCACAAGTGGAAATCGGATAATATGTTGTTAGCTTTTTTTTTTATCTTGCACCCGAACTGTAAGGCTACCAATCACAACCACAAGTGTAAAAAGGCAAATATTGTAGTTTGAATCTTCTTTGATCATATCATCCGTTGGCTAATTTTTGACACAAGAAATTAACGTTATTGGGGTCGTTGCCATCACTCAACTAAAACACACGATTTCTCCGGTTTCTCATTTATTTTAAAGGAAAAATTGTCACGATTCATAACGCTTTTATTTTATGATGATTTCCTCCTTTTTACCTCCTTTATTTCCCTTATGACTGGTAGCTCTTTTTTGGTTTTCTTTAAGATCATTGTCTATAGAAATTAATATCGATCAAGTAAATGTTGAACTTTTTTGACATACAATTACAAGTACCTAGTCTATTATATGTGGGTGAAGTTTATGAAAAAGAGATAGTACTACTAAAGGGGAGACTCCACGCGCGCGCATTTATTAAAGAATGATTTGATGAGAGCATGTTTATTAAAGTGGAACTAACCTTAACCTGTTATTTTGCATTTAGGTTTTGGGAAGTATTTAATAGTGATCTGAATCTCATTAACACAAGATACAGGAGTCGAGGCGCCACATTTGATACGGTGTACTACTAGCTAGCTAATTATAAAAGAGATCAGGATTTTCAAGAGTGACATTTTCACATAGAGAATGTGACACGTGTTTATACAATTATTAATACCATAACACTTTAATTAAATAGTAAGTGAAATTATTTTTTAAAAATATTTAAATGTGTGACAAAATATTGAATTAATGTCTAATGTAACACAAAAATGTCATAGATCCTCGTGTCAAACTAAATGAATAAAAAAAAAAGAGAAAGAAGGAAGTACTTTTGATCTACTCGGGGTTGCGGTTTATAGTTTATATACAAAGAATTTGATTGTAAGGATTAATCAATTAATTAAGCAGGATAGATAGAAAGATATAGCTTCTACAAAACTGATGTTAGGATAAATCCATCCTTAAATTTTGGGGTATTGGCAAACACACGAGTCAAGCCTTTCGGCTGTCATGATGAAATAGTGATTGAGATTAGGTAAAAGTTGATCTTGATTACTTTACTTAAGCTAGGGATTTGCTTCGAAAGTATAACCCCCCCTTTCACTACAAAAAAAGGGGTCCCATGAATTACAATATTTAAGAAACAAAAAAGATGAAAAATGGATCTCTAGGTATGTTTTTCCAAAGAACCACGGTTTGATTGCTAATATAGCTAGCAGCATAATCCGTCCATTAACTGTAAAATTTGCAAGTAATGATTACCCTTTTTGAGCTAGCATTTCTGAAGGCCTTTTAGGACTAATCATGCTTCCTTTGAAATCATTTTGCTTCCCACCGGTTATATAATTAAGCATTGTGGGATATCCACTAAATCAGGCCTGTTCATGCTTTAATCTCAGCACACCGAAAATGGAAGATTTGGGCATTATTATCAATAGACTAGAAGATCATCAAAAATGTACTTTCAATTTAACCACACCAAGCTTTTTGAGGATTTTAATCATGTCGTTTCAACCCAAATCCAAAGTAATTTGGTAATTTACTCTAATTGGATTGTAATTGTGCATTCGATTGGGTACGATCAGGGCCTGAGAGTTTACGAAGGTCCAACATGATCCGCACCATTATTAATCAGATCATGATTAGAACATGATATTATAGACTAAAATCATTCTCGAAATATTTTTAATTAAAGATATTTCTGTTCTGAAGTCTAAAAGAATGTTTATCGTACTGGAATTCTGGAAACGAAACTCCATGAACTCTAGAGTTTGAAGTGTCTTTAACAAAGAATTCTGGGTTGGAGTACTAATTGACCGGCAGAGTAGTTAGACAAGTGTCATTGACACAATATGAACAGGATATTAATTATACCTTCACTAATTAGTAACTTTCACCAAGAAATGTGAATAGTGACATTCTTTTTTAAACTCCTTAGCTATTGGTTCGACGAAAAAGAACACCATTTCCCCTAATTGGTCAACAAAAATTAGCTACCGTAATTCTAAAGCCGTCAGCAATATCTGAACTGTAAGTCTGCAACAATATCTGCTCACATCACTATATATATCTTAGGGTCAAATTTCAACATCAGTAAAATTATACTCAAATTCCTTTGAAATTTGGT